TAAAAATACAAGTTCGTTAAACTTCTCTTTTCCCAAAGGTAGTTAAAATAAATAGTTTGACAGTGTCTCAAAAATAGAGAAATAAGCAAGTTATAGAAAATTCAGCCAAAACTTAGTCATGCTTCTGTTCTGTGTTTCAAAGGTCAAATAGTTCTTCTAGAGTATTTGACGTTTTCTAAACGAAGCAAGTATTTTTAGCGCATTTTCTTCTGTAATGATACAAATATGTAGTGGCTTTTCCCATTGAGCTTGTAAATCTTAGCTAATCTGAGACACATTTGGAGTCAGCTCTCTGCACTGTAGTAAAAGCAATGGTCCTAGCTTCATCTGGAGGGAATTTTCCAGGGTGGTTTATAAGGACAGCATGGGCTTGCCCACTTTATGTAATGAGCTGGCTTTTTTTTCCCCTTTCCTTTCTTGCAGTACTGGGGATTGACCTCAGTGCTTGCTAGGCAAATGCTCTACCACTTGAGCCACACCCCCAGTCTTGTAGTAAACTTCATGCACCCAACCCTGACCGTGAGCCACTGGTCTTCTATTTCCCTTCTCTCATTTAATAGCAGTACAATTTCCCATAGGACAGAAAAGATACTTTAAGAGCTGGGGATGTATGCTCAGTGGTTGAGTTCTTTTAAAACAGTAAATATTTTGGTTCCATATTAAATAGATCACATCTTTTAGAAAAATAGGAGAAAGGCAGAAATTTGGAAGCAGAATAGTTCTGGGTTTTAAAATTCTTCAGACTATATGCAAAAAGTGAAAGTTTGTATCCATACCAGGCCAAAATTTAGAAGCAACCCAAATATCTTACTAGTGAATGAATAAGCAGGTGTGTGTGGCTTTAGTAAATGTTAGCAACGAGCAGGAGCCACCTGTGGCTAGAACATGAGTGTTTCTAGAAATCATGCTAAATGAAAGCCATGCTGAAGGTTCCACTCATGGAAAATTCTATAAATCACCAATGGCCCTATGGTGACAACATGCAGAGCATCAGTTTCTGAGGGTAGGAGTGCAGGGGGCACAGAAGCAGGAGAAAATTGCGGAGGGTGATCTTGATTTTCATGGAAACTTCAGAGGTGTGCATAAAATTTAAAATTTGCCAAACCACACTTTATGCACAGCTTATCACATATCGGTTATATCTCAGTAAAGCTGTTCAAAATTACTTAGGAGCCAGGTGTGGTGGCACATGCCTGTAATCCCAGCCCTCGGAGGTGAGGCATGAGGGTCTTGAATTGGAGGCCAACCTGGGCTACATAGCAGGACCCCTGTCGAATTAGTAAACAAATAAGTACATCCCAATTCTTGAAGACTTAAGAAAAAATTATGTAGGGTATTTGATTTATCCAGTTCTGTTCACTGTCACTAGAAATTTCAAAATTCAGCCAAATATTCATGCCTTGAGTGTGGTGCTTGTCAGCTGTATGATTTATTTGTATCATTGGCCTTGTTTTCACATCAAATAATGCTGTCATCCATCACCGGTAGAATAGCGTTCTGTTCATTACTCCTCTCAGGTCATTTACGTGAATCCTTCTTGGTCAGAGCTCACAGTTTGAGAAGGTATTTCCATAGCCCTTTGGAGGTGTGCTATCTCCTTAGGTAGTTTGGAATGGTTTGTCTTTTTGTCCATGTCTCTAAGTTACCTTTCTCTGTAAAGCTGGGTAGTGGGTTCCACAGTGTATATCAATACTAGGAATTTAGTTGTAAAGATAATTTTGAACGTGCATAGTGACAAAATTCCAAACAAAAACACAGAGTCTGGTATTCATTTTAACGTCATGAAGTCTTGAAAATGTGGGAGCTTTCTGGAAAATAAAAAGCTGTAAAAATATTGTGGGAAGTATGTTCAGAGATTCTCATGATGGTTTTCAGGTGTGCTGTTCTTGCTTTGGATTGAGGAGTTCAAAGCAAGGTAGACGGAACAAGAACATCCTTTGGTAAACCCCAGTGAGGGCAGGATGTAGTTCAGTTGATCTCCAGCACTGTGGAACAAATCAAATAAGGCCTCACAGCATTCTCAGATGCTCCCTTGTTTTGAAAGAACCATAGCTTTGTTCCAGATTCCTATGTCTCGGCTTTATCCAGAGCCTATAATTTCATTCATTTTAAAGCATACTACAAAATTCATCCTATTTTATGAGTAGCACAGATTCTTCAGACTGTCAGAAGCTATTGTTTATGCTTCAGAACAATCGAGTCACTCTGCCCTTAGGAAGCATGGGAGAAATAAATAATCACAGTATCCAGTGACAGGTGCTGTGAACATGTTGTATGTGCTCACAATGTTAAAGACACAGCATCTTTATGTCTAACCCAGTCTCAGTGGAGATGGGTTCATGATGGGGAGTTACCTGGGAAGGCGGTGCCCTCACCAAGTCTCAGATAATGGGAAGAAGGACAAGTGCTTACGTGAGGACAGCATGTGGGAAGACATGGCACTAAGAGGCTGTGGTGCACAGGCCTGAGGAGAGCACTGCCATTGTTGGAAAGCCACTTCTCACTTTGCAGGATGAGAATGGGAGGAGTCACTGATAGAGGATAGACAGAAAAAAAGCAGAAGAGATCCCCAAAACCACTGAGAGAGCAGGTTGGCTTTTTAACAAACTTGTTTTCTGAGACTGGAAGAGAAGTTACAAAGATATGGGTAAATGAAGATCGATACCTTTGAAGGAACAGAGGTGACAGGAACAATCAGAAAACGCTTATTTAAATGGAAAGAGATGGAAGTGTACTGTTAACTATTTGGAGCTTGAGAAAGAGTACATGAGGTTGCAAAACCTGAGCAAGAACCCCCCGCCCACCTGAAAAAAATCAGCGTGTGGTACCGTGGGCCCAACCAAGGCTGAAGACCATGAATTTGTAGTGATTTAACGCTGGCATGATTTTTCCCCTAGTAATCTCATATAAAAATAAAGCAAGGACATTTTAGCATTCGTTTAGGTTGGGATTTGTTGGATTGACATAAAATCATGTGTATCAGCAATCTGAACGTGCTTTTGTGAGCTTAATCTTGAAAAGGAGAAGGAAAAATAGAAAGCTGAAGAGAGCCAAAAGAGTAGAATAGAAAGGCGAGAAGGGCATGGAGGCTCTTGAGTTTGAAGAGCTGGTGGAGCCAGGGGAGAGGTTGTTCAGGAACTGGGTGGAAAGAAAAATGTCCAAAAGTAGAAAGCATGCACGTAAGATTTCTGGGAGAAAAATTTTTAAGTTTCAGGGAGTGACTGGGGGAGTTTATGATTGAAATACAGTAGTGAGCTTGTCGGCATCCTTGCATCTGAAAGGAGATCCAGGAATTTCAGTTGTGGGTTATTGTAAGTTTTGTGTGTGGTTGTTGGCAGTTCCATGGTGATCAGTGCAATTAGAAAGAGGTGAGACACTGATTATTGTCTCAGACGTGACTTAAGATTTTAGAGGTGGTCTGTCAAGAGGTGGCTGTGCACATGGATGACCGAGATAGGCTGGAAATGAAGGTTAGTAGGGTCCTGTCAAGAGGCATGGGGTACGCTGGAGGGACAGGAACTCCTGAGCCAGGTTCCGTGTGTTCCATCTGTACAGATGGATAACTGTTAAGGGCTGAGTAAATTGAGTGCAAGAAGCAATTGGCCTGTTGGGGACAGGGATACAGGGCAGCCACCTGAACCTGTGAATCCCTTCTCAGAATAGTAAGGGCTTTTTAAATGTATAGGAAGAACAAATAGAATTATAAGGAAACGGAATTTTATTAGTAAATTTATCAAGATATTATATAAAAATGTTGAAACAACACGCTTTATTGTTTTATAACTATAAGACATGTAGTATGTCTTGTAACTAACATAAAATTGACCATAAGTGATATTTTAAGATTGTTGAAGCTGTTATGTGTTATGAAAATATTGATGAAAACTCAGAGGTACAGTGAATGAATACTGTTATATTGCCTGTGTTCATAATTGAGGATGATGCAAACTTAAGTCAGAATTTAGCAAAAAGTTAATGTATAATGTTTTTCCTCATCCAAGTTAACAGACCAAAATTCTCTCCTAGTCCTGTAGTTAAGAATTTAGCCAAGTATGATGGTGGCTGCTTGTATTTCAAGCACTGAGGTAGGAGGATTGTGAGTTCAAGAACAGCCTGGGTTTTGTCCTGAGTTCAAACCCCCAGCACCACAGTGAAGAAGGGGAGGAGGGACTTGGCTCAAGGAAGATGGGTTGGGGGCGGCATTGTGCGTGGTGAGTTAAAAAGCCATGTTCCTAACCAAACCAAAAAATGGACAGAGAAGCTGATGTTTTAGTAGGCGTGACACTTGAGAGTCACTAAGGCATGGCAAAAAGGAGAGAAAAAGGACAGAGTAGTAATGAAGGGATTGGGCTCGGTCAGAGTGAGACAGCTGGCCTGGGGGTCCTGAGCAGATGCAGACTGAGGCCCGGGGTGTATGGTGGAGAAACTTCAGGTTCATGTTTTTAATCCGAAGATATTTTTCCCTGCTAGAGGATAGAACACAACTATGTCCACATTAAGGTAGAAAAATCTGAAGTCAGAGTGAGATAGTTGATGGCAAAATGTAATATAGTGTCAGTGTAGGAGAGGGTTGGTGTCTCATAGAAATCATCCAGTGTTCTTTCTACTTTATTGTATGCCTGGTCCCAAACATGGAAAATCATGTAAGAGTTGGTGAATAAATATAAGCTGTAAGAGTTATGTTTAAAGACCAGACTTGCCATTGTACCCCAAGGGCAGATTTGGGAGTGTCTGCCATAGTAAGGAGACTAAGCAGCAAAGTCTGTGTTTGTGGTTAATAGAACTAGACAAACTTTCAATTTGTGTACCTCAGTTTTCAGTCACTTGAATTGTATAGAAGAATTTGGTTATTCTGTTTAGGAAATGTATTAACTTTGAAGTAGATTTTAATACTTCAGTTTTACATGTATCAAGCTAATATGTGCATTTTATTTATTTCAATTTACAGTAAATTTGTTAATCAGTAGATTGATTCTCTTTGTTCTTGTTTTCTGTTTCAGGAATTAGCTCTCCGTAGCCAGTTACCAACACTGGAGCCGGATGGCGGGACTCAAAATCCAGTATCTTCTCCCGGGATGTCTCAGGAATTGAGAACAATGACGACCAATAGCTCAGACCCCTTTCTGAACAGGTCAGTGAGAGTGTTATTGGCCAATATCTGCAAGAGATTGTTTAAGGTTTAAGCTTTTTAAGGTTATTCTGCTTAGCACTTGTAAGAGGCTATTCTGAACATCTGTGTGGACCAAAACCCATAGCTGTACATGAATCTCTTCATAACTGGCAAGTACAATAAAAGTTCGGGATTAAACAACTTCTTCTGTAGGAGGAAGTGAGCTGTTGAGACAGCTGGGGAGGGTACTTACTCAGAGTCACGGCGTGTTTGTTCTGCCTGTGCTACCGTTGACTAACAGTCACATAAAACTGTAGAAACACGAAGCAACATGTGAAACCTACCTAGGACAGCAGTGGCAGACCATTACAGGAATTTTTCACATAGCTGTTCAGCCCAAGAGGTCCCTTCCGGGAGCACCATGAGGCCACGTGTTTTTAAGGCTATAGGTCAAGGAGATAAAAGAAAAGGTTGTGCCCCTTTTAAAACCTGTGCTATGATGAGTGGCAGTGTTTGGAAGTAACATAGCTTGAGAAGGCTTCTTAATGAGTTACCACAATTCTTCGATTTGGGATTTGGGGCAGATTGTGATATATAAACTGCTACGAACTATAAACTGAAACAGGTAGTGTTTTTTTTCCCTGAAAGCCACTTAAAATTAACATTCCACTAAAATTCATTCTTCAGGGTTATAAAATACCTATTGTATTTCAATTTTTAAAAGTGTTTTTTTTTTTTGGTGGGACTGGAGTTTGAACTCAGGGCTTGCACTCTACCGCTTGAGCCACACCTCCAGTCATTTTGCTCTGGTTATTTTGGAGATGGGGGGGTCTCCCAGACTATTTGCCTGGGCTGGCTTTGAACCACAGTCCTCCCAAGTAGCTGGCATTACAGGCGTGCACCATCTGTGCCTGACTAAGCAACACACTTTTAAAATTGGCTAAGGAAAGGGATTATCCTGCCTTTTCATTTCTCACCAATTAAATTGAAAACGCCATAATTCTAAGAAAAACAGAATATTTCATCCCATTAAAAATACCTACATCAGTGGAATTTTCTGTCATTCTCCCAGTTTTCAGATAGCTCATATGCTGGGTGGCCTGACTGGAGGATTGATTTTGAAGGTCAGCTGCATTGTACTTTGTCTGTGTTTACCTCTCTTGACACACACACAACTTAAAGCTCTGCCTAAAATGAGTGATGATAGAAGCTTCTTGTCCTGGACTGAAACTGAGCTTGATGAGGAAAGGCAGAGAACCGAGAAATTTTTTTCTTCCACAAGAAAAGTTTTAGATCAGTTCCTACCTCATTGAAGGCCTAACCCATTTTAAAAATGGCCTTCTAACAGGAAATACTTGTGAAAATATTTCCTTCAAACTTTAGATGAGATCTGGGCCACAGTGTGAGGTTCTCTTCTGGTAAGATCAGAGTGCAGATGATCCATGTCATTTGTCTAAGGACAGAATTGGACAGTCACTCTCCATAGCAGCCCCTATTCCTTTTCCTGTTCAATTAAGTCTGACAGTGTAGCCCAGGCTGGTTTTGTATGCTCTTATCTCAGCCTCCTGAGTGCAGGGGTCACAGGCATGAACAACAGTAACTTCAAGTTTGACTCTTAATTTCTCCCTTGCTTAGTAGTTGGTGTACAGCAGTTCCTTAAGCTCTAAACACTTTTGTCCTCTAACTTGCCGTGAATTGACTGTAAGCAGTGGTGCAGTGGCCCCTTATCTCCCTCTCATTCTGGGATACACCACAGCCAGCTCACATACCCGTTCCACGAGACCATTCTCATTTACTTCTCAGCTCCCTTCCTTGTCCTGAAAGCATTTTACTCACACAGTTCATTCAGCCATATACAGCAGAACTCATTAGGGCATCTGTTCAGCTTCCCTCTCTCAAGTTGGGCACCTCTTATAAGCATCTTTGTTGGAGGCTTGGAGGTTTGTTGTTACCTTTGCCTGCCTGGTACTGTCACATGTGTGCCAGTGTAGTTGACTGGGTGGGACCTGAAGAAGGTGGACTCTTCAGGGAGCAGTCCCAAAGGCAGGAAGATGGCCCTAAAAACTCTTGGGGAAGGGCAGTGTGCTTCCTGTGGTTCAGAATGAGTTCTGCGAGACTGGTGTTAACAGTTCACCTCCTCCATAGCAGACACAAACGGCTTGAAGTGTGTGCCATGTGTAGCAGTGAAAACAGAGTGGTGACTTGTCCCAGGCCAGGGCATTCAAAATAAAAACAAATCACATCCCGCGACCTTCCCACATGGCTGTATTGTACACAAATGATCTCAGAGGCTCTTGGATCCGTGTGAGGCTTTTCGGATCTGGCAGAAGCATAGAGTAAACCAGTGTTGCAGTACTCTGAAAGAGGATGAGGACTTAGCAAATGTGCTGAATGATTTAGGGAGGAGATCTACAGTGCTGACCTTTTAACCTTGAGCAGTCGTTAAATCTCAGTCTTAAAGCTTTGGGGATACTGGTGTTTTTTTAGCTTTGTTGTAAGTTAAGCAGTTGCTTAGATGTCCATTGTGTGGGGAAAGTTCACCTTCGTGTTCAGAAAGCAACAAGAAGAATAACAATTACCTAAGACTTTCTAGTCTTAACAGAACTCAGAGTTTTACAGTTACTGCCAGCTGTCTTTGTGCTGCTAGCTTAGAAAAGCATTCTATTTATGAAAATAATATTCTGAGGGTACTTACCACTCCTGTATGTAAATCTGGGAAACTTCACATACCCTTCAGTGAGAGTCTGCCTTGGCTTACGTTTTCCCTCAAGGGATGTGCATTGTGTTTTCTTGAGCTTCTCTACAACTGGAGCTGTTAAGTCTTCCTGTGTTATGCTGAGGTGTTTGGGTCCCCCACACCCCCTCATCTATCACCACCACTAGAAGGAATGAGATCAAGCTATGGAAATTCTTCTCTTGTCTGTTTTGGCCCAGAACAAAAAGGGATTCTGGTTCTTTATTTGAGTTTGGGTTTTCCTTGGCTTAAGCTCTCTGCCCAGGAGCTAGGAATTTAATGTGAGTCTAGTGCAGGCCTGTCTCACTGCCCTCCACCACCTGTGGAACTGGAACCTTGAAGCCTTCAAGCTACATGAAGTGTGGCAATCTTATGCCATCCTGTCCCTCCCATCCCTCCATTCAGATATTCCAGAAAGAAGAGCTATGCTGAGAATTTTCTGTCAGCCAGGAACATTAGGTGGGTCTGTCATTTTTCTTTCACACTGTCACCAATCACAGAGCCTCAAGAGAGACCGTGGTCCTTTGGCACCGTCCACTTCAATCAGGATTAGCCTGACATTTCATCCCACAGCACAGGCTGAGTGTGGCCTTGAAGGCACTGTAGGGCAAGAATTTTCACTAATCCTCTTCAAAAATCATGTTGAATGGATGGAATTGGAGAACATCATTCTGAGTGAGGTTAGCCTGGCCCAAAAGACCAAAAATCGTATGTTCTCCCTCATATGTGGACATTAGATCAAGGGCAAACACAACAAGGGGATTGGACTTTGAGCACATGATAAAAGCGAGAGCACACAAGGGAGGGGTGAGGATAGGTAAGGCACCTAAAAAACTAGCTAGCATTTGTTGCCCTTAACGCAGAGAAACTAAAGCAGATACCTTAAAAGCAACTGAGGCCAATAGGAAAAGGGAACTAGAGAAAAGGTTAGATGAAAAAGAATTAACCTAGAAGGTAACACCCACGCACAGGAAATCAATGTGAGTCAATGCCCTGTATAGCTATCCTTATGTCAACCAGCAAAAACCCTTGTTCCTTCCTATTATTGCTTATACTCTCTCTACAACAAAATTAGAAATAAGGGCAAAATAGTTTCTGCTGGGTATTGAGGGGGTGGGGGGGAGAGGGAGGGGGTGGAGTGGGTGGTAAGGGAGGGGGTGGGGGCAGGGGGAAGAAATGACCCAAGCCTTGTATGCACATATGAATAATAAAAAAAAAAAATCATGTTGACACTTAGCAGGTATTTATTGTTGCCTCTAAATTGATTTCTAAATTGTTAGCATCAGTCTTCCCTTTTTTTTTTTTTTTAATAGTGGCACCTATCACTCTCGGGATGAGAGCACAGACAGCGGGCTGAGTATGAGCAGCTACAGTGTCCCTCGGACCCCGGATGACTTCCTGAACAGTGTGGATGAAATGGATACAGGTCCGTTCTATACTCCGCTGAGAACTGTGACTTTCAGGCTCAGGTCTGATAAGCGATTGTGAGCAAAATTTGTTCAGAAGAAAACCAGTTAAAGTTCTGTGAGCATCAATTTAGATGGAGTTTTCTGCCTCCACCTCCCAAGTGCTGGGATCATAGGTGTTACCACTAGGCCTGCCCGGCTTTTGAGCCTGCTTTGTTTTCTATAGTGGTTTATAGTTTAAGTCTTTTCCTGCTTTTTAAATATCATGTACTGGATATCTTAGCTCTGTCTGAATGAAATCATAACATGACTAATTTCAACATGTTAATTGAAAAGGTAATTGAGAGCCCAGAGGCATGGCTCAAGCAGCAGAGCCCCTGCCTAGCAAGCATGAGGCCCTGAGTTCAAACTAACCTTTTTGGTGGCCAGTGCCACCAAAAAAAAAACAAAGAGCCAGAGAGAGAGAGAGGTGGGGGGTGGGTGAAGAAAGGAAAGAAAGATATAGACAGATTTGTGTTCTTAATTTGGAAGAAAGTTTTCTACGTGCGGCTCATTGTCTGCCCATCTTTTCTCTGAGGGTTTTGGTTTGGTCCAGGTGAAGTGTTGCAGGCCTCAGCGTGGGAATGGCTCGATGGTTAAAATGCCAGTATAAGTCTTGTGGGAACTGAAAAATACCTGTCTCACAGGGTATTTCTCCATGACTCACCTGGTGAGCAGAGCATAGGAATTATCAGGGAGGTGAAGAAGTTATAGTTAGCTAGCTCTTTGGCTGACAAACCTCTCTTCTGAACATGTTTGGGAAGTCTCGTGTGCCTGTGCTTCTACAACTTGTAAATACAGTGGTTCCTAGAATTCATGCTACCCCTTCCTCTCTGCTTACCCAGATCTTAAGTCAACCTTAGGAGCCATTTCAGACTCATCTCATGCACCAACACCTGTCCTTATTCCTCTCATTTTCTCGACACCCCTGTAGCACTTAGTGGTTCACATTGGTTTTTCTGAAAGAATGTTCTAGTGGAGCTCTGAGGAATGTTAATGTCATATGCAAAAAAACAAAAATAAAAAAGACTCTGTGGCCAGGTAAGATTAGGAAACAGAAGCAAGGCTAGGAACATTGATTATTCATGAACTTGTGGGAGGGTCGCTTTGCTGTTGCTAACATGGGTCTTCAAGAATAGAGTGAAGTGTATCTCTGCAGCCCCTTATTTTAGTCCTGCCCACTGTGTCCACAAGAAAGAAAGGCAGGTCTGTCCCGTTCACTTCTTATTTCATCTTCCTGCAGTGGTGCATATCTGCAAGGCCGTGAGTAGCAATGCTGTTGTGTGGTGTACCCGTTCTTTCTCATCCTGCTGGCCAGAATTTTTCAAAGGATTTTTCACTTTTTCACAACCCCCTTCAGTGCTCAGCATTTAATAATAAGCAGTAGAGCTGTACGGTGAAGCATAAGTAAACTTGGCATTGACGTTCTGTACCTGTGCATTGATTTCTAAATAACAAATCCTAGGCAGAGGTTGAGGTCAGTCAGGAGTGCTTTTCTTTCTCTGTGCATTTCTGTGCTCATGATGTGCTCCAATGTTAACTTTTCAAAAAGGACTTTGTTATCTCTCTCTCTTCCAACCAGGTGATACAATCAACCAAAGCACCCTTCCCTCACAGCAGAACCGTTTCCCAGACTACCTGGAAGCCATCCCTGGGACAAATGTGGACCTTGGAACACTGGAAGGAGATGGAATGAACATAGAAGGAGAGGAGTTGATGCCCAGTCTGCAGGAAGCTTTGAGCTCTGACATCCTTAATGACATGGAGTCTGTTTTGGCTGCCACCAAGCTAGATAAAGAAAGCTTTCTTACCTGGTTATAGAGCCCTCAGGTAGACTGATTTCTAAATCTGTGAAGGATCTAAGGAGATAAGACGTGCATACCTGAAATTTCCAAATAAGCCAGGTGCAGTTTTCTGGCTAACAGAAAAAGATGAACAAACGTCCAGCAAGATTCTTTCATCCACTATTTTGCTCTTCCTTGTCCACTGCTGCTTTTAATATATTGCTGACCTCTTTCACAGTTGGCCCTAAAGAATCAAAAAAAAAAAAAAATTTTTTTTTTTTTTTTGTTTGTTTGTTTGTTTTGCTGTTATAACTACTGTTTGTTCCTGGGGCTGGGGAAAGTGAGCCTGTTCGGATGATGGATACCATTCCTTTTGCCCAGTTAGATGGTCACCAATCATTTTAACTAAATACTCAGACTTGGTTTGAAATGCTTCATGTCACAACATTTAGTTTATCCAAGAATTGTTCCTTCAGCTGCCTTTGGCCAGTGGAAAAACATGTCTTACTGGTCTGACAAACCAAAAATGTCACATCGGATATTAAATACCTAATGGTGATTTGGAGAGATAGCTGAAACCAAGGCTGAAGACTGTTTTAGTTTCACTGTTGTTTGGGGTTTTTTTTTTTTTTTTTTTTTTCCCTCCTAGTGCTATCATTAGTCACATAGTGACCTTGATTTTATATAGGAGCTTATAAGGCATGAGACAATTTCCATAGAAACATATTAATTATTGCCACATACTCTAGTATAGGTTTGGGTGGATATTTTGTGGGTGTTTTTTGGTTGGTTTTGTCAGAACCTAGGCAAATTACTATATTAGTGAATCTGTTAATAGTGTAGCTTGGGATGGTAATTGTAGTTCTTTTGATAAATTCTCTATTTCTGGTTTTTTACCATTGTATTTAAATCTTGATTATCTGCTCTCTATATACACACACACTTACAATGTTTATAATAGTTCGATAGCAGAATGTATCTTGTTTTGGTGTTTATTTGTTTTCTTGTTCTGTTTTTGTTTTTTAGGTTTGCCTACTTTCCAGTTTATTTTTCAGTGGTAGCTTTGAATGTATGCATTTAAAATACGTAACTAGTAGTTTATGTTTCATGAGTAGTTTAAATTGGTTGGGGCAATCTGCAGGTGTTTGAGGTAGTGTAGCATTCTGTAAAGTGTTGTCACTATGGATAGTGCCTAGAGGAGTACTCTGTGCCCTCTGGACACACGATAAATGTTATCTGATGAACTGGAGAGGAGCAAACAAGAAATGGCTTTATTCTCCCCCTTGGGCTGATTTGAGTCTTTAAGGGAAGTCACAGAGGAATTTCGCAATGTCCATGACAGAAGCAAGCTTTTTTTTAGCTTTGGAACTTTACATTTGCCTTAGTTTTGGATGTAAATTCTAGTAGTTCTCATTTGTAATAAAACACATTGAAGACTAGATTGAAGTATTCCTTACAGGATTGTTCTTACAAGACTCGCTCCTACTTCTGTGTGCTAAACATTGAATCTGGGTACTATGTAGAATGCCATAAGGTCATGAGTTAACTGGTGAAGTGGTCAGATTAATAAATGTATATTGATTGTTGTTGAGTTTAGCACAGAAATAGAGATAAGCATGATTATACCTTTATTTTTACAAGAAGAGATATAAATAGAGTATGTGTCTAAGGAGGAATAATGGTTTCCAAAGAATATTTTTTAAAGGAACAAAATGAGCATGAATTAACTCTTCAATATAAGCTATGAAGTAAATAATTGCTTGTGAATTATAGTGGCACCAGCTAGCACCTCTGTGATGCAAGGGTCTTTTGAATGCTTCTAGAATAAGCCCTTATTTTCAAGGGTTTATAACAGACAAAAATCTCTTTTCCTGGCCAAAGCTGCTATCACAAGCCTCAGCACGAGAAGACAGACTTTTTTAAAAAAATTTATGAAATCTTAAGTATTTCGGTTCTTTGATTTGGAGGAATGCAAAAATGGAAGTTTAACTTTAAGTACTTTCAGTGCTCAAAAAATGCAATCACTGTATTGTATATAATAATTCATAGGCTGGTCATTCGTAATAATTGACTGTAAAGTTTTTATTAAAAAAAAGTTGTAAGATTCCATCTTGAATTAAGTCTGGGGGGAAGTGGCCACTGTGCAGATGGATTAAGTTTTAAAACAACAATGAAATTCTACCTGGAATGCAAACTCAATGCATGATACAGCATGTCGCTAATGTGCAGAAGACCAAGGCTGCTTGAAGGAGGGTCCACAATCCACCAGCAAGCCACGAGCTAAGATTGCATCTTAAATAGCAGCAGAGTAGCTTTAGCTCAGGGGGTGGAAGGTGGGAGTGGGTTGTGAAGAGTTAGCTGGGCCTGGATAGGAACTTTATAAACTTCTTTCTCTTCAATAAAGACTTGTCTTGCATCTTGCTCTCATCAAAGGCAGTTGTTCCTAAAATTTCAATCGCTGATGTACACCCACAGAACAAGACTATGGAGTCTTCCTTTCCCCTTGACTTTGACTTGCCCAGTTATACCTCAATGTCACAGCAGCACTGTGGGACCTGATGCAGTGCTCTGATCTTATCCCACCCTTTGTACCCCCCTGAAGGAGACCTGAGGGTCCTTCCTCTTTTTCGGTCACAGCCTTGATGTAGTCTTCCTGTTGTGTGTCCTCGTTCCTAATGTAAAAGTGTTTAATGCTTCTTGGTTGAATTGGGTAGCATGGGGTAAGAACTTAACTGGTTATTCTTGAATTTCTTTTACAATAAACCAATTTTATAATCCTTACATTCATCAGCTTTTTACATTTGTGTTCTTTTCAGTTAGGGCTTCTTCGACCTATGGAAGCACATTGATTTGGAGTTTCAGATTGTCTGAGGCACTGTTTGTTGCAATAACTGTTGTAAGTACAGTGCCTTTTTTTTAAATGAGAAAAAAGAAAGGCGAGGAAGCGGCTGTGATTCAAATGTTGCTGTGTTAAGTACTTGTATTAAGTAGGTGCATTTTGTGCGGGACATGGCAGAGAAACTGAAAAGGAACAGTGGTGGATTATGTGCTTCCGGATTCATAGAAACATGCACAAGGGTGAACAGCATCCAGTGAGTAACAGTTTCGTGGCTTTTGCACGTCCGAGAGAGAAGTCAGTGCTCAGATGAGTTTTATCTCAGCAAGCATGTTTATGAGGATTGTGGTGTGCCTAACTTAACAATTGTTTTCTGTATCTTCAAAAAGTATTCTCTACTTTTTAAATGCTTTATATTAGAGATTTCTTTAATGCACACTTGTCAAATATATATATATCTATATATATAGTACGATGTTACCTTTTTTGTTTTAGATGTAAGCGCATGCTTGTGCTAGGTACTTACATAAATTGTTACATTATTTTTTCTTATGTAATACCTTTTTGTTTTTGTGGCTCAAATATATTCTTTCCTTAAACTCTTCCTCGTTGTTTTTAACAGTTATAATTTTAAAAACTTTTGGGGGCTTGTTTTCCAATAGAGTAAGGACTGGAAGTATAAATGATGATTACAGGAGGAACTGGTAGACAGATGTAAATTTTCCCAAAGTTAGATGTGGCATTTGAAATGTTTCAAAGTAAAGATACAGTTCTTTGAACTTTATGTTCTGTGCACTGCACATCCCCATTAGCCGTCAGGTCTGAGTGTCTGCTTTACTCTCAAGTGATTTGACTTCACGTAAGAGCACAGACCAAACCAAGATGAACAGGACACTATCAGAATATTCTTGTGATCTCCAAAATAGAACACTTAATTTGTGAAAAGTATTACTGTGTTACAAATAAAAACAAAGTGGTAGGTCCTGAACTTTCAATAAGTAGATTTTGATTGTCTTTGAAAATGACTTTCCTTTTTGTGTGTGCTATTGTTATTGACACATCGGTTTTGTGAGGCAAATCTGAAAACTTGTCATATTTGCTATGTATAATTTCTTTACAATTATCAAATACATCTTAGCTCAAACCTCCATCTTGGGGCTAGGGGTATAGCTCAGTGATGAAGTCCTGGATTCAATCCCCACAATCAAAAGAAAAGAGAATGCAGACCCATGCCTGTGTCTATAGCATCACTCTTCTCACTAGGGCCTCGCTCCAGGGGGCAGTAGATTTTGGCTATGCTGGTGGCAACCACGGCTGGTGATGAAAGAACACCTAGGCAAGTTTACTTCTGCCACCAGGGGTGGTTGACTAAATGGTATTTAAGTCCCCCTAATTTCCATTTCCTGACAACTGAGGTTGTGCCCAAGCTGACCATCCACAAGGACCATCACATATTTTCTTACTTTCTCCAGTGGGACCAGACTGGCCCTGATCCTGGCAATGGTCATTTTTGCTGACATCCGGGTTGCATTGTGGGTAAGCTCACATGCTGCTCTCCTTTGGCCCCAGGGTCCCAGGTGCACTGGTGTTGATGGAATCCGCTGTGCCTGTGGCAGGGTGTCTGCCATGTCTTCCTAGTCCACTTCAAGCACTTGGCATTCAGTGTGTAGTCATGAGAAAGTTGTAATAAACTGCCTTTTACAATTTAAAAGCTTAGTTACAGAATTGAGAGTCGGGATGAGAGAGGGGGTGCAGAGGCACACACCTGGCTATTGGGGAGATAGAGGCAGGACGATCACTTGAGACTGGCCTGGACTGTCTTAGAAAAATCAGATGAGAATTGTTAGTTTTTCCAAATAGCACGTAGAGCATGTATTGCTCTATTATCAGAATACACAGAGCTGCAATATGGGGCTGGGGACGTACTTAATTGAGAAAGCACATTTGTGTGTGCAAGACCCTGGGTTAAACACCCAGCACAGTGAAAAAGAACAACAGGTGCAGTGACTCACGCCTGCAATCTCAGCTACTATTCTTTAAGAGAGAAAGTAGAAGTATATTTAGTGTCAGAATTGGCCATTGGCTCCATCCCCAGCACTGCAAAAAAAAAAAAAAAGTGAAATCGGAAGCAGTGGCACAGCCCAGTACCACCATTTGAAAGCGTGAAGCCAAAGGATCCGTCCCAAGTTGGGTCCATCCTTGGCAAAACCACAAGACACTGTTCCCACTGGAGACAGTAAGAAAATGGTAATGGTCCTTGTGGATGGTCGGTTCTCAAAAAGAAAAAGCTTGAGTTATTGTAGCTTTATGAATTTGGCATTGATTTACACAAGATGAATGCATGGCAGAGCTCCACCCTTAGCAGCCTTTTAAAACTGTTGGCTTGCTTCTTAGGGTCATGACACGCCACCCTCCATGAGGTCTGACCATGTTGTGTTTTGTCCTAGTTCCTAGACCTTCATAGAATCTACAGAAGATAAAGTCTGTGATGTAAAGATCTTTTCTCTGGATATAATTGTATTATGGGGTGTTATTAGAAGAATAATAACTTTTAATTTATTTGTATCTTCTTGGGTTTGGTGCTAGGGATAGAACCCAGGGCCTTACACGTACCAGGTGATCTCTACCACTGAGCTGCACCCTCAGCCCCTCAGTTTCTTTTAAGACATTTGTTCAGTTTCAAATCTGGATTTACACAAGATTAAAATGTTGACCTGTCTGACCAATTTAAAGAGAAACTGC